GGCGGGGGTTTCGGCGGCGCGGTGCTCCACGGGGGGCGGGGGTGCTCGGCAGCTCGGCGGGGGGCGTTCGACAGTGCGGCAGGGGGGCGGGGGCTGTTCGGCGGCGCGGCGCTCCGCGGGGGGCGAGGGGTGTTCGGCAGCGCGGCGGTGGGTGGGGGCTGTTCGGCGGCGCAGCGCTCGGCGGGGGGTGTTCGGCGGCGCTCCGCGAGGGGGGGCGTTCAGCAGCGCGGCGGGGGGCGGGGGGGGGTTGGCGGGGCGGCGCGCGGGGGGGGGGGGGGGGGTGTTATGGCGGGGCGGTGCTTTTTTTTGCTGCTTGGGGCAGCAAAAAAGTTAGAGCCGGCCCTGCTTGTCTCCTTTCCTTATAATCCAAAAGAGATTGTCTTTCTCTTACAAGTCAGGAAGCCCTCCTGGGGATTCAGTTTCCTGTATCTCTCGGGGGTGCAGGAGCCATGTGGATTCTGTTTTTCGAGTTCAGCAGCAGGATAACCCCCGACTGGTTTAGCTTGATAGCTTAGTTTGCTGTTAATCCTTAAATGGAGGCAAGCCCCCATCCCTTTGTCTAGGACAGACATGTTTATCAACTTTACCTAGGTGAGGCTATCTCCTTGTAAACCTATTCTAGTAACATCATACAGAGGGAATTAATAGCTTCACATATAATATTAACACATGCATTTTACAATTAAATTAATAACCATCATGTTATTGAAATTCATCTGATACCTCACAAGGTGTATTTTGTATAAATATTATTGCAGTAGCATGTAGGGTCACACCATCAGTGGGAGGATGAAAAGCCGAGATGGCTGGCCAGATGCACCGTAATGGAGCTAAGTGCTAAACCTTGATGTTCAAAAATAGACCAGGATCCTCTGAATTTTTGTTCGAGTTGGGGACACACAATGGGAAGCAGACCAGATGGAAATGTAGCTCTAGTGGAAGGTTTACTGCTAGTAAGGAATACATTCCAGACTGCAGCTGAGCAGTGTGTCTCCTCTGCATTCAACCACAGAGGAACCATGCTGTGAGGTGCAGCACCTGCCCCGGTTCCATGACAGCAGGTCTCTGTTTACTGGTAACAGCACAGGTCCTCAAGTGGATAGTTTGCAGTTTTGAACACCACGTCTGAATCAGCCAGGCTGGGGCCATAAGGATGATCCTGCCATGATCTTTATTGAGTTTGAGGATCACCCTGGAAACCAGGGTTATTGGCAGATATGCATATAGGAACTCTTTGTTCCACAGAAACTGGAAGGCATCTGATATTGATCCTGGGCTGTGACTCACCCTGGAGTACGGTGACCAGATAGCAAGGGTGAAAAATCGGGACAGAGGGTGGGGGGGTAATTGGCACCTATATAAGATAAAGCCCCAAATATCAGGACTGTCCTTATAAAATCGGGACATCTGGTCACCCTACCCTGGAGCAAAAACTGGAATGCTCCCTGTTCTGGTGAGTTGTAAACTGGTCCACAGAAAGAAACACCAAGGCTAGCATGTTCGTGCTGAGGGACCATTTGTTATCCAAACTGAATGATCTGCTCAGACAATCTTCGAGGCTGTTTTGGACCCCATGGAGGTGAGACGCTTTGAGAGTGACTGAGCTCCGAATACACAAGTTCCACAGCTTGATAACTTTTTGGGAGAGGCCAACTGATATGGCTCCTCCCTGTTTCTTCAGAGAAGTCAACAGTGGTGTTGTCTGAACAATCTTGCTTTGAATGTGAGGGCGGAAGTGCTGGCATGCCTGGAATATTTATGTGCAATCTGGCCTCATATGCAGTCCACAATCCCTGAGCTCAAAGGTCACTGAGATATGCTCCCCACCCGATGGCTGATGTGTCCGTTACTAAAATCTTGATAGAGAGAGAAGGAGTGAAAGACTCCCCTGCAGACGTTGTCTTAGCTCATCCTCCAGATGAGAGATAACAGCACCCTGTCTGGGATTCGCACTGGCTTGTCTCGGTGATGAATCAGAGAGGTGCAACCCAGCATGGGGAGTGACAAATGTACGTGCTGCCATGTTCCCCAAGAAACAGACAATTCCTCTCACTGGTCTCAGGATGGTACTTAAGGGATGCTGAGAAGCCCCATGTAGTTGGGAACTAGCAAGCAACTAGAAAGCCCTGGAGGAGATCGAATCCAGAACTAAGCCAATGAATTCTATCCTCTGCAAGGGCACAGAAGTTGACTCTTCTAATTGTTTCATTTTAGGTCCAGGATGTCGAACAGACACAGGATTTTCTGGACAGTGACTTGCACATGCCGTATGGACCATCAACAAAACAACTAGTCATCCAGATAAGGATACACACACATTTCTTTTGCATAAGTAAGCAGCCATACCACCATGCATTTGGTAAGTATCCTCGGAACTGATAATTGGTCTAAAGGCAGGACAGTGAACTGGTAACTGTCATCTCCTGCTTCAGGGGCCCCTCAACAACAAACCTCAGGAATCTCCTGTGTCCAGGATGGATTGCCACATGGAAGTGGGCATCCAGTAAGTTAACATGCCATTCTCCTAGATCTAGGGAAAGGGTAATTGTAACCAGGGATACAATGCAGAATTTCAACTTCCTGATGTATTTGTTGAGGTTCTGAAGGCCCAGAATGGGTCTGAGACCTCCTCTGGCTTTGGGTATCAAAGTATCTGGAATAAAACCTCCTGCCCTGATGAAATGAAGGCATCTCCCCTATCACTCCCAAAGAATAAAGTCTGCACTTCTTGTGTTTGCACAGACACATAAGAGGGGCCCCTGAAGCATGAGCGGAGGGTTGGAAGTGGGTGATAGAAAGAAACTGGAAGGTATATCCCGATTCCACCATTCTTAGCACCTCCTTGTCCAAGGTGGTGGACTGACAAGCCCAAAGAAAATGTGACAACTTGTCCCAGAGAGATGGAGAAGGGTCTATAAGTTACAGGTTGGATAGAACACTGTCCTCAAAAAGAGTCAAAACGGCTGCTTGGAGGCTTGTGGCTGCCAAGAAGAAGACAGCGAGGAAGTAAAGGGCATGGACATCCTCCTATGTGACCTTTACACCGCCACATGGACTGGTCAGGCTGCCAGAAAGCATAATATTGTTGTCTGAGCTGGTACTTCAGGCAATATTTCATCCTCCTTGTCATAGGCACATCGAGGCCTAAGGACTTGAGCACTCTCCTTGAGTCCTTTAGTGTGTGCAGAGCCTCATCTGTCTTACAGTACAAGGCACAGCCCTCAAAAGTGGGTACTCAATAGTGTGTTGCACCTCCACAGGAATCCCAGAGGCCAGCAACCAGGATGCTCTATGCATAGTCATTGCTATCACCTTGGCCCTAGCTGCAGAACCCACTGCAGCCAAAGAAGCCTGTAAAGCTGAACAAGACACAAGGCATTCCTCTGCAACACGTGACTGGAACTGCTCCCTGGAATCCTATGGTAGCTTACTAGCAAACTGGGATATTGCTTCCCAGTTTGAAAAGTCATACTAAGACAGCAGAGCACTATGATTGGCAATGAAGAACTGCAGAGATGTTGTAGAATATTTTTTCTACCCATAAAGTCAAGATTCTTGGCATCTTTATTCTTAGGGGTAACCTTAGCTCTGACCTGTCAGCTCCTCTCATTCCCTGCAGCCACCACTAATGACCTAGGTGTGGGGTGTAAATAAAACTGCTGAACCC